CCTGAGCCGGTGAGATTTGAACAGCCGAACTGCAGAACTGCAGTCAGCTGAAGTAGCCTACAGTGCTGCATTTAACCACTGCGCCACCTCGGCTCATAGGATGAATAATCGCCTTCCCTTAACAGAACCTAGATTTATGTGGGACTCTTCTGAATGAATTTTGCCTTTGGAATAAAGCACACATTTTGGGGACAACAGGCTGAATCTTCTGGGTTGGGTACCTAAATCTTAGATACACACACATACCCTATATATAACATGTATAATTTTGTACACAGTCTGGGTTTAATGACTATTCTGCACTGGAAAGGGAAATTTTAAATGTTTCTATTTACTAATAACGGGGAGTCCTTGGTTTAGGATTGCAATTGAGCCCAAAGCTTCTGCTGTTAAGTGAGACATTTGAGTTTTACCCTGTTTTATGACCTTTCTTGCCACTGTTGTTAAGTGAATCACTGCAGTTTTTAAGTTGTTAACCTAGTTGCTAAGTGAATCTGGCTTCCCAGATTCGCAAAAGGGGATCAAAGGACCTTGGGACACAGCAACCATCGTAAATATGAAGCGGTTGTCAAGCATCTGAATTTTGACCACATGATCATCGGGAGACTGCAGAGGTTGTAACTCTGAAAAACGGTCATAGGTCACCTTTTCAGTGCTATTGTAACTGAAGGGTCATTAAACAAACTGTTGTAAGTTGAGGACCACTTATACATTTTATTGCTATTGCTTTACTGATTTTCCTCTTTTTTTAAATATTTAAGAAATGTGAATGCTTCATTTACTGAAAGAACCTGAGCTGGATTTGGAAAATAATACATTCACACACTTCTCTGTCTGTCTAGCAATCAGTAAAAATGACACCAATTTCTGGGACGTCTCTTAACGCTGAATTGAAATGTTCTCTGGCCATTGTTGAGTCAGCAAAAAACTATGCTTGTGTGAAATACGCATCCTATTGGCAATCCCTATCCTGTCTCTACTGTTTCAAGTTTATGCGGTCCCCTGCCTTCCTTCAGGTTTCATACACCTTGAGGCGGTGCTTGGACAGGGCCAGATCAAGAGGAGGGGAAATATTTCAAAACCTGTTCAGCTAAGGGATCTTCACGTCTGCCTCCCTTGCGGGGTGGGGATGAGAGGAATGTGACATCATGCAGACATAGCAGGAAAAAGATGCCTACAGTTTCCCATCGGGGAGTTGCAGAAATTTGCTGAATTGCAACCCTCCCCATCACTTGCTAGATTGGACTGCTGGGAGATTTAGTTCACGTTGACTTTCTACAGCAGTAAAAAAACCTGGTTGAAGAACTAGAGGTGGTGGCATGCTGGGCAAGGAAATGGTATCATCCAAAAGATGGCTCGAAAGAATAGAGAAATCGGCTAGCTTTTTAAATTGAAAAAAAGGTCTCTGGCTAGAGCTTCTCTCTCTGTGTGACTGATTAATCTTCCTCATCAGCACTGAGCGGGTATTTTAAATGTCCCTTCCCCTGGAAATGCTTTCCAAAATCAGTAGATTTTCTCCAAGACTTTAGCAGAAGTGAGACAGCAAACATGCCCAGGCCAACTTAACAATAGCTCTATACAGAGAAAGGCTGCACTTTTTTAAATTTAGGTTTTCTTTTGGTCAAATTGTTCAGAAACGCCTTTTAAAAGTAGTGTCAATAGCATGTTGCAGGGGTTTGTGAGAAATTATTTGTGACAAATCTGCAATTGTAGTTTTATATTACAAATGGAGACAGCGGTTTATGGTAATTTTATTGCCTGATCAATAATTAGCATTATTCCTTCATTGTTAATAGGAATGGGCCTGATGCGAAGATTATAGTTTACAACAACCCTGAAATAACAATCCATTGTTATAATTTGGGGCACTATGTTTGGAAAGAGCAAACATATAGTAAGTCTTCAATATACTTGACTATTAATATCTCAAACAAGTTCAGGCATGGTTGATACATTCACACATCCCATATTCCATCATGATTTCATCTTATTCAGTTACTGCTTATATTTCCTAATTGCAGGCCAACTAGCAATAAAGAAGCCTCTTGTTCCAGTGATCTGGGCTAAGATTTTAAATATTCAGAAACAAAAGAACAATATACCCTGAATATTATATTAATGGAATAAAGATGATCCACCTGTGTCAAAAAGCTCGAGTTTTGTAACTGTGATACAAGTACCACTGTGAAACTTTGAAGATATTGGGTGGCACTTCTAAATTGGGCAAAAGTCCTGTATCTCAAGCTTGTATATTAATTGTTAAATAATCCATTATTATGAGCCATGTAAGCACATAATATATCAACTGTACATTCAGAAAATTCATTTATTTATATTTTTCCTGTCTTCTTTTACTGACCACTAGTTTGATATGCTGTGAAATTATTGATTGCATTTCCTCAAGATAATCTTATTGATTATCCAAGATAACTGTACGTGTTTATGGCTAATAGAAATTAAGCCTGATCTAAATCTTCATGTAATATTTGGCCTTGACTGGCTTTGAGAAAATTCTGTCTATCAGAAATAAGACAGATTCTCAACCTAGGTTTACAAAAGAATCAAAACTCTACTTTAAAAATCAGTAATTTAGGCATGCCAAGCAGCAAATATTTTATCAACATTTTGTGTCCGAACTTCAAAAAACTTTTGTATCAACCACACAAACTGTTTAGTTTCTTTAAGAAAAATAAATAAATAAAATGGTTTATACTCCGGTTCCTTGGAAAAAAATTAAATTATCAATTACACATATCCTTCTGTATTGACTTTTCTGCCAAATTGGCGTTAAAATTTTTAAGTTAACTTCTTTCATCATCCAGTACTAGCAAATCAAAGGCCAATTTTGCTCTATCCTGGCGAGCGGAACTTAAGAGTGACCTCCAGGAGTGGCCAATAGGAACAGTAGCAGGCAGTTGTTTAGTTTTCCCTGTTTAGAATCTTATGGCTTGGATAGAATTTTAAAACTGTAATCTTAGTATTTTACAGTGCTAAGTAACAGTCAGTGATAATTAATGAACTTGTGTTCATTCATTGATATCTACAATTATCCTGTTATCCTGAAAATAAGACCTCCCCAGATAACAAACCCAATTGTGCTTTTGAGCGCAGGCGCTAAAATAAGCCCTCCCCCGAAAATATAGCAACACAGCAGCAGCCATGAGATGACTATACTCACCACCTTCTGCACCTAAAAAATAACAAGACCTCCCTGTAAATAAGGCCAAGTGCTTATTTCAGGGGTCAAAAGAAAATAAGACCCAGTTCTTATTTTCAGGAAAACCTGGTAAATATACTAGACTCATCACTGAAATAGCTCACACTTTTAATTGCAACTGAATTAAAATTTAGATATTTAATTCTTTTTATTTTTAATATTTTATTCCTTTTGTTTACTAACTTATAATTTGTTTAGTTATTATTTTACACAGTTCTATATTTTTACAAGTTGTAGTTGTTTTATTTTATTGTGGTCTGTCCCTATCCTGTTTTGAAATTTAATTTGAGTTTTTGTCCCTTAAGAGTAAAGTACCATTGCTACATTAATTTATTGAAGTCAAACTTTGTTTTAAACCAAGGTTTTAATTGGAAATTTGAAGCTTTAGTACAATCTTCACAAAGGAGTATCCATTATTTATCAATGGATGCCTGTAAATTAAAACATAAATTAAAGCAGTCATTCCAGTACCCTTTAGTAGATTTATAGCCTTGTAGAAGTATTCCTTGACTTGCAACCACAATTGAGCAAGAGAGTTGTTAAGTAAATTTTGCCCCATTATCTTTCCTGCAACCGTTGTTAAGTAAATCACTGCTGTTGTTAAGTTAGTAACATGGTTGTTAAAATGAATCTGGCTTCCCCATTGACTTTGACTGTTGGAAGGTTGCAAAAGATGATCACATGACCCCGAGACACAGCAACCACTAATACACGCTAGTTGCCAAGTGTTTGAATTCTGATCACGTGACTGTGGGGATGCTGCAACAGTCATAATGTGAGAACCGGTCATAAGTTTAAAAAGCACCTTTGGGACGATCATAAGTTACTTTTTTCAGTGCCTTTGTAATTCTGAACGGCCGTTAAAGGAAATGGTCGTAAGCCAAGGACCGCCTGTAATCAAAGTGTGGTGACTAAATGAGAAGGCAAAAACTCTGGCACGAATAACCTACACGCTGTATTGGAAAAAAGAAAGTATCCCATCCAAGTTAGACATAATTAGGAAAATGTTGGCCTGTGTGGAAGCAGATAGACTCACCCTAGAATTAAAAAATGAAGGGGAGTCGGAATATTACGAAGTTTGGAACAGATTTTGTTATTGGTATAAGACAAGGTGACAAGACTGGAACAAATTGTAAATAATGTGATTGGATAGAAGGATAGATAATGTAATAAGTAGGCTGACAACTCATGGATGAGATTATACACACACACACACACACACACACACACACACACACACACACACACACACACTCTGTGATTGTTTGGCCATGACGTCTTTGCTGTGCTACACTATTTTAAATGCAGAAACAATAAAAATATATTAAAAAGAAGGCAAAAACCGTTCTGCTTTTATTTTTTAACGTGGAGCAGGTTACATGCCCTGGCCAACCTCTGAGTTTCGTATCCATTCTGATTCTGCTTTTCTTCCTTAAAAGCCCCTTCTGATCCCAGCCTATGGCCTCTCTTGAGCTGTGAGCCAGGCCTGCTGAATAGCTGAGCAGTTTTGCAATAGAAGTACTCCACCCCGAGTGTCCCTGTGGGTAGGGCAGACTCCGTGACTTCAGCAGTGCTTTGCAAGGGAAGGTTGGGGAGGACAGCCTCTTCACGCACAGCCAAACATATGTACATCTGGACTTGTCCTGCACATGCCCCGGAGCGGAGAAATAACTTGGAAAAGCTCCAGCTTCTTCCCTTTGCACCTCCTCCTCCTCTGCTTCCCACAATCGGAGGACCTTGTTAAAAAAATAATAATCCTGAGGAATAACGGGATACAGGGATCTTAGAAAGAGACCGTTTGGACGAGCAAGTGAACTTGACAAAAATCATAGCTCTAATAATACTTGTTTTTCATTTATGAAGAAAGTAAACCGAAGTATGCAAGAGTAGGAAAATGCTTGCAATGAGAATGAACTTTGCTTCTGGGCCTTTAAAATCAGGCTGATTCGCAGATGTTAGCAGGCACTGCTAGGATTATACTGTGAAAAGAATAATCACCTGACTTTCGAAGCTAATACTGCTAGATGTTTGAAGAGATGCAAAAATCTTTCCTTCCCTCCATATTGGCCAGGTGACCATTTCAGACATGAATATTTTATTTTATTTTTTGCATTTTAACATCTCCAAGAGATTGTCTTCTTGTTGTTCTTTTAAAAAAAACACCTTAAAAGATAAAATATACTTTCACTACAAGTATATATTGGATTTATAGTGTTAAAGTTCCCCTGCCTCCTCCCCAAATCCTGGAAATTGTATTTTGATGTGCTGAGTATTAAGTTAAATGAAGGCTCGTGCTCTTTCTTCGAACTACAAAATTCCCAGAATTATCTGGCAAAGTACATGTATTTGTATTTACTGCCAGTTTAGAGCCAGTCACACGCTAGTGGCAACAGAACAGTGCATCGGAGTATTTGCTTCCTAAAACTGTAGAGATGGTCACATAAACAGTATGAACAAGCTGCATCCCTCGGCCTTATAGATCGTATTGAGCGTTAACCACCAGTGGAGTTCACACTTTGTGTTAAACTATATTTGATTTAAACCTGGTGTACACAATTGGATGGATCTGCAGAAAGTGGGAAGCCAGAAAGTATGGCTTACAAACAGGGGTGAAATTCAGCAGGTTCTGACAGGTTCTGGAAAACCAGTAGCGGAGATTTTGAGTAGCTGGGAGAACCGGCAAACGCCACCTCTGGCTGGCCCCAGAGTGGGGTGGGAATGGGGATTTTGCAGTATCCTCCCCCCAACCATGTCCACCAAGCTACACCCACTAAGCCACACCCACAGAACCGGTAGTTTAAAAAAATTGAACTTCACCACTGCTTACAAACCAGAATTGGTGAATTTCTACAACGGGCTAAGTCAAACCTAAATAGAGCTTATATTATGACTTGGTGCAAGCTCACCATATTAAAGCAGCAACATTCAGCGTGACCATCACACTCACCCAAGAAGAATGAATGCGCTAGGCAGAAAGCGAAAATTCTGCAACAACATTTCTGTTGGGGTCCTGAAAATTGGGGTGATTTGGGGATGGATCTCCTGGTCTTCTGAAACATGAGCAAAGGCTCGACGTTCGTTGCACAGAGACAGGAATTGTCTGTAAAAAGAGCCCAAGCTGAGAATGTTCTAACCAAATTTACCTGCTGACTTTGATTATGACATCAAAGGTGTCTTGACCAATGATAGCAGGGCTGTTTTTTCCCCCCTTCCTTTCATACTGTCCTCTCTGATGGTGGCAGTGTTTGGGGGCATTTGTTACATTCAGGGCTTCAGATCCATCGGGAGGGTGGAACTTCTGATCATCCTGGATGAGGAAACCTCCTTACTTCTCCCCTTCCGGGGACTGAAGGCAATTGATCAGGGACCGCTTTGGGGCAGGATGGGTGGTGTGAAGGGCCTGTAGCCCTGAGAGGAGGAAGGCCCTTGAAACTCAGAGGAAGCAAAAACCCCTCTGCCCTGACCTGATCTTACAATTGTATGTTTTCATTGTATTTAACTTGTGAAGGCTTCCACCTCTAGCAAGCAGAACAGAAGAAATCCTTGTCCCAAGGGTCTCTCCCTCTGCTGCAGACCCAGTATGGGCAAATTAGCTGGGCTCTTTGTATCCAATGGAGGCAATACCATTCTTCTTATCATTTACCTTTTCAGGAAGGCAGTCCGCACATATAACTCACGGTTCCTTTATGCTCATTGTGATGAGAGGTCAAAGTTGCCCAAAGTTGTGAAGTGAACTGAAAAGAAAAATTAGACTTGAGTGCAATGGGAATTCCACCCTGCTCACTGTGTCTCTGTCACACCTACAATGGAGCGTTGTCTTACTAGCTGTTTTTGCCTTGCCTGTCCTGACAGCCATTTTAATCCAAGTTCTCTCTCCTTTGCCATGCAGCCTTATGTCTCAGTGGCCCAGCAGATGGCACCCCCAAGCCCCAGTGGCAGCTGCAACAACAATAGTAGCAGCAGCAGCAGCAGTGGGCCAGGCGGTGGCGGAGGTGGCGGGGACCAGCTGAGCAAAACAAACTTGTACATCCGGGGCCTGCATCCTGGTACCACCGATCAGGATCTTGTCAAGCTCTGCCAACCGTAAGTTTCCATCATCCAAGAAACATGGGGGGGCCAATCCTCGATTGGAATTAAATGATTCAAGGGAGGGCGGGCAAATGTTGTGTACTTACGTCTACACCTTGGTGTGTGGTATTCTGTTGCCAGTGGGAATTGAATTTACCAGTCTTCTCTAGTATGCCCCCCTATGGCACAGTGGTTAGAGTGCAGTTCTGCAGGCTATTTCTGCTGGCTGCCGGCTGTCTGCAATTTGGCAGTTCAAATCTCACCAGATTCAGGGTTAATTCAGCTTCCCATCCTTCAGAGGTGGGTAGAATGAGGACCCAAAATTGTTGGGGGCAATAGGCTGACTCTGTAAACCGCTTAGAGAGGGCTGTAAAGCACTGTGAAGCGGTATATAAGTCTAAAGTGCTACTAAATACTACCCACCCTTCCTGAATTCAGCAAAATACTGGCATGTAATGTGTATCCCTGTTGCTAATCCCTATCCTGTCTGTACAACTTGCTTTTTCAAACCACTACAATCCCTGACTTCCTCCAGGTGACAAGTCCTAACAGTCCTGGTAAGGCGGCCCTTGGATAGAGCTGGCAAAAAAAGAAAAGAAAATAGTTCTGTAACACTAGTACAACTAAGGATGAATGAAGTCTCTCATTACGAGGGCAACATGAAGGCAGTCGTATAAGACAGCGTGTACAAATATGGGGGCTATTGGTAAGGTTGTGCCTTATTGGATCAGGGTTGGGTCAGGCTCTTGGAGAGGATATGTTCCTTCTCCCTGCTAAGGTAGATGAACTCAAGTGATGTTGCAACGAACCAAAATGTACAATTTACCAAGAAACATATACAGTAAGCCACTTTCACATCATATGCCTATGTTGAAGGCCTAAGATTATCCATGTTGATGTCTAGAGGGCTTCAGGGCCCAGAAGGAAAGACTTAAGAGAAAGCAAAAAGAAATTTCTTCACGTCACTAAAATCAAAGAAGTCGTTTAAGCTTTTCACAAATCTAGAACTCTCAGAGATTCAATGATCACCCAGCTATTGTGGGGATCAGTCAAGACTGTTTTCCAACAAACCAGGGCAAGTCAAGTCTGGATTGGGTTTGCCTACAGATTTAGCAGCTCTTTATGCAAAGAGACAGGAATCAGGAACGTTCATTCCTTTGCCCTATTCTCCTATCTCCTCATTTCGGTTCTGCACCCATTTTCCTTTCCTTTCCTTATTCCACAACTAAAACTGAAGCCAAACCTGAAAATTTATGGAGCACAGCTTGGCATCCTTCTACCTGGGCCATTTAGGATATTCTGGGTGAGGAGTAATTCAAAATAAACCTAAGCTATCCTAGCTCTTTCTGTCACTTTGGTGAAGGACCATGTCCTTCTTTGTAAGGATGGGAAGCTGGCAGCATCAGGTCTGAATCCAGCCCTTCTGCTCTGGGGGTCCTGAACCAAAGTGTAGCCTGAACAGGAAAGTCATTATTTGTAGGACGTTGATCAGGTTTTGGAGGGCTGCTGCTGCTGCGGCTCACCTGTTTCTTGGATCCTCGTGGAAATCTGTCATTGTGTCCTTGTTTTAAGGCTATCAAAAGCTTAAGACCTTCGTGCTATCTGCTGTATTGAACTCCCACATCTTCCAGAAGCTCGGTGCAAATATTCCAACCTTGACTAATAATCAGTGTTGCTTTGGTAGCCCCCTGATTTGCCAAAGTTATCTAAAAAGTGATGGGAAGGTGTCTTGACTCCCTGCTAAAGAGTTCTGAAAGTGACTTCCAGAGTGTGGGGGGGGGGAGGAAAAAAGAGTTGGAGGGGGCTAAGTAGAGTGCAGTCACGTACACATTGCCTGCAGCAACATATTGACGTTGTGAAGTCTGTGGCTCCCTAATTGCCTGCCAGAGTTTGCACCACTCTTCCATCTCCGAGCCTTGCCTGAAGGAGACCGAGCAAAGCTACAGCACTTGAAGCTAGGAGGCCGGGAGGGGTGGGTGGGCAGGGGGCTGTTCCTCGTTTACCTCAGCTCACCCCAGTCTGGAATGCTGGATCTGGCCCCAAAGCCACACTTGACAAACACGCCTGCTTCATACCAGGAATGTGCGAGAGAAGGGAATCATGGATGAGAGCTGCAACCAGCAGGCGGAGAGCTTGGGGAGGACCAAAGGGAAGGGAAGGAAACAACTCCAGAGCCTAATACCGGCAGGGGCTGGGATCTGGGAATTCTGGGCGGCATTCCTGATCCTGCCCCTATCTTGCAACGTTTGTGTGCGGTGCCCTCCTCCCCCTGTGCCTTCATTCTCACATCTGCAAAGCAGTAGAAACCCCCCCCCCCATTGGAGGTCTGACCATAACCACAGCGTTCAGCATGATTCATCTCGCTCTGAAGCCCTGCAGCTGGACTCCCCTGAGTCCAGGCTGGGAGGCGCCAGGACTTGGCTGTTCTTGGCGCCGGTCGGATTTCCTGGGCTTGTCCTTCCCTGGGCAGGAAATCCTGCTCGGGGTGAACAGGAAGCATCGCGGGTGGGGTGAGAGGGCAGCTGGGATGGACTCTGTAGGGCTCAGCACTTGGGGGGAGGGGAAGAGAGCCAGAGTCCGCTGGCTATTTTTAAAGGGAAACTAATTCAGGGCTCACACTAACGGAGGGCGGAGGGGAGGGGGCTTGTAATAGGTTGGAGGAATTTAAGGCTGTCCTAGAAAGGCTGGACCAAGGAATTGCATGCATAACTGTGACTTCCTTAGCAAGATAGCGATAAGGAAGCTAATGAAGGGATTTAAAAGAAAAGGGCTATCAGAGCCATTTTTTAGCAAATGATTACACTGCCAAGGCTGTTTCTAATTGTCCCAGAACTATTCAGAGGATGCTGGGATAACCATTCCCTCTTTTTNGGCCAACCTCTGAGTTTCGTATCCATTCTGATTCTGCTTTTCTTCCTTAAAAGCCCCTTCTGATCCCAGCCTATGGCCTCTCTTGAGCTGTGAGCCAGGCCTGCTGAATAGCTGAGCAGTTTTGCAATAGAAGTACTCCACCCCGAGTGTCCCTGTGGGTAGGGCAGACTCCGTGACTTCAGCAGTGCTTTGCAAGGGAAGGTTGGGGAGGACAGCCTCTTCACGCACAGCCAAACATATGTACATCTGGACTTGTCCTGCACATGCCCCGGAGCGGAGAAATAACTTGGAAAAGCTCCAGCTTCTTCCCTTTGCACCTCCTCCTCCTCTGCTTCCCACAATCGGAGGACCTTGTTAAAAAAATAATAATCCTGAGGAATAACGGGATACAGGGATCTTAGAAAGAGACCGTTTGGACGAGCAAGTGAACTTGACAAAAATCATAGCTCTAATAATACTTGTTTTTCATTTATGAAGAAAGTAAACCGAAGTATGCAAGAGTAGGAAAATGCTTGCAATGAGAATGAACTTTGCTTCTGGGCCTTTAAAATCAGGCTGATTCGCAGATGTTAGCAGGCACTGCTAGGATTATACTGTGAAAAGAATAATCACCTGACTTTCGAAGCTAATACTGCTAGATGTTTGAAGAGATGCAAAAATCTTTCCTTCCCTCCATATTGGCCAGGTGACCATTTCAGACATGAATATTTTATTTTATTTTTTGCATTTTAACATCTCCAAGAGATTGTCTTCTTGTTGTTCTTTTAAAAAAAACACCTTAAAAGATAAAATATACTTTCACTACAAGTATATATTGGATTTATAGTGTTAAAGTTCCCCTGCCTCCTCCCCAAATCCTGGAAATTGTATTTTGATGTGCTGAGTATTAAGTTAAATGAAGGCTCGTGCTCTTTCTTCGAACTACAAAATTCCCAGAATTATCTGGCAAAGTACATGTATTTGTATTTACTGCCAGTTTAGAGCCAGTCACACGCTAGTGGCAACAGAACAGTGCATCGGAGTATTTGCTTCCTAAAACTGTAGAGATGGTCACATAAACAGTATGAACAAGCTGCATCCCTCGGCCTTATAGATCGTATTGAGCGTTAACCACCAGTGGAGTTCACACTTTGTGTTAAACTATATTTGATTTAAACCTGGTGTACACAATTGGATGGATCTGCAGAAAGTGGGAAGCCAGAAAGTATGGCTTACAAACAGGGGTGAAATTCAGCAGGTTCTGACAGGTTCTGGAAAACCAGTAGCGGAGATTTTGAGTAGCTGGGAGAACCGGCAAACGCCACCTCTGGCTGGCCCCAGAGTGGGGTGGGAATGGGGATTTTGCAGTATCCTCCCCCCAACCATGTCCACCAAGCTACACCCACTAAGCCACACCCACAGAACCGGTAGTTTAAAAAAATTGAACTTCACCACTGCTTACAAACCAGAATTGGTGAATTTCTACAACGGGCTAAGTCAAACCTAAATAGAGCTTATATTATGACTTGGTGCAAGCTCACCATATTAAAGCAGCAACATTCAGCGTGACCATCACACTCACCCAAGAAGAATGAATGCGCTAGGCAGAAAGCGAAAATTCTGCAACAACATTTCTGTTGGGGTCCTGAAAATTGGGGTGATTTGGGGATGGATCTCCTGGTCTTCTGAAACATGAGCAAAGGCTCGACGTTCGTTGCACAGAGACAGGAATTGTCTGTAAAAAGAGCCCAAGCTGAGAATGTTCTAACCAAATTTACCTGCTGACTTTGATTATGACATCAAAGGTGTCTTGACCAATGATAGCAGGGCTGTTTTTTCCCCCCTTCCTTTCATACTGTCCTCTCTGATGGTGGCAGTGTTTGGGGGCATTTGTTACATTCAGGGCTTCAGATCCATCGGGAGGGTGGAACTTCTGATCATCCTGGATGAGGAAACCTCCTTACTTCTCCCCTTCCGGGGACTGAAGGCAATTGATCAGGGACCGCTTTGGGGCAGGATGGGTGGTGTGAAGGGCCTGTAGCCCTGAGAGGAGGAAGGCCCTTGAAACTCAGAGGAAGCAAAAACCCCTCTGCCCTGACCTGATCTTACAATTGTATGTTTTCATTGTATTTAACTTGTGAAGGCTTCCACCTCTAGCAAGCAGAACAGAAGAAATCCTTGTCCCAAGGGTCTCTCCCTCTGCTGCAGACCCAGTATGGGCAAATTAGCTGGGCTCTTTGTATCCAATGGAGGCAATACCATTCTTCTTATCATTTACCTTTTCAGGAAGGCAGTCCGCACATATAACTCACGGTTCCTTTATGCTCATTGTGATGAGAGGTCAAAGTTGCCCAAAGTTGTGAAGTGAACTGAAAAGAAAAATTAGACTTGAGTGCAATGGGAATTCCACCCTGCTCACTGTGTCTCTGTCACACCTACAATGGAGCGTTGTCTTACTAGCTGTTTTTGCCTTGCCTGTCCTGACAGCCATTTTAATCCAAGTTCTCTCTCCTTTGCCATGCAGCCTTATGTCTCAGTGGCCCAGCAGATGGCACCCCCAAGCCCCAGTGGCAGCTGCAACAACAATAGTAGCAGCAGCAGCAGCAGTGGGCCAGGCGGTGGCGGAGGTGGCGGGGACCAGCTGAGCAAAACAAACTTGTACATCCGGGGCCTGCATCCTGGTACCACCGATCAGGATCTTGTCAAGCTCTGCCAACCGTAAGTTTCCATCATCCAAGAAACATGGGGGGGCCAATCCTCGATTGGAATTAAATGATTCAAGGGAGGGCGGGCAAATGTTGTGTACTTACGTCTACACCTTGGTGTGTGGTATTCTGTTGCCAGTGGGAATTGAATTTACCAGTCTTCTCTAGTATGCCCCCCTATGGCACAGTGGTTAGAGTGCAGTTCTGCAGGCTATTTCTGCTGGCTGCCGGCTGTCTGCAATTTGGCAGTTCAAATCTCACCAGATTCAGGGTTAATTCAGCTTCCCATCCTTCAGAGGTGGGTAGAATGAGGACCCAAAATTGTTGGGGGCAATAGGCTGACTCTGTAAACCGCTTAGAGAGGGCTGTAAAGCACTGTGAAGCGGTATATAAGTCTAAAGTGCTACTAAATACTACCCACCCTTCCTGAATTCAGCAAAATACTGGCATGTAATGTGTATCCCTGTTGCTAATCCCTATCCTGTCTGTACAACTTGCTTTTTCAAACCACTACAATCCCTGACTTCCTCCAGGTGACAAGTCCTAACAGTCCTGGTAAGGCGGCCCTTGGATAGAGCTGGCAAAAAAAGAAAAGAAAATAGTTCTGTAACACTAGTACAACTAAGGATGAATGAAGTCTCTCATTACGAGGGCAACATGAAGGCAGTCGTATAAGACAGCGTGTACAAATATGGGGGCTATTGGTAAGGTTGTGCCTTATTGGATCAGGGTTGGGTCAGGCTCTTGGAGAGGATATGTTCCTTCTCCCTGCTAAGGTAGATGAACTCAAGTGATGTTGCAACGAACCAAAATGTACAATTTACCAAGAAACATATACAGTAAGCCACTTTCACATCATATGCCTATGTTGAAGGCCTAAGATTATCCATGTTGATGTCTAGAGGGCTTCAGGGCCCAGAAGGAAAGACTTAAGAGAAAGCAAAAAGAAATTTCTTCACGTCACTAAAATCAAAGAAGTCGTTTAAGCTTTTCACAAATCTAGAACTCTCAGAGATTCAATGATCACCCAGCTATTGTGGGGATCAGTCAAGACTGTTTTCCAACAAACCAGGGCAAGTCAAGTCTGGATTGGGTTTGCCTACAGATTTAGCAGCTCTTTATGCAAAGAGACAGGAATCAGGAACGTTCATTCCTTTGCCCTATTCTCCTATCTCCTCATTTCGGTTCTGCACCCATTTTCCTTTCCTTTCCTTATTCCACAACTAAAACTGAAGCCAAACCTGAAAATTTATGGAGCACAGCTTGGCATCCTTCTACCTGGGCCATTTAGGATATTCTGGGTGAGGAGTAATTCAAAATAAACCTAAGCTATCCTAGCTCTTTCTGTCACTTTGGTGAAGGACCATGTCCTTCTTTGTAAGGATGGGAAGCTGGCAGCATCAGGTCTGAATCCAGCCCTTCTGCTCTGGGGGTCCTGAACCAAAGTGTAGCCTGAACAGGAAAGTCATTATTTGTAGGACGTTGATCAGGTTTTGGAGGGCTGCTGCTGCTGCGGCTCACCTGTTTCTTGGATCCTCGTGGAAATCTGTCATTGTGTCCTTGTTTTAAGGCTATCAAAAGCTTAAGACCTTCGTGCTATCTGCTGTATTGAACTCCCACATCTTCCAGAAGCTCGGTGCAAATATTCCAACCTTGACTAATAATCAGTGTTGCTTTGGTAGCCCCCTGATTTGCCAAAGTTATCTAAAAAGTGATGGGAAGGTGTCTTGACTCCCTGCTAAAGAGTTCTGAAAGTGACTTCCAGAGTGTGGGGGGGGGGAGGAAAAAAGAGTTGGAGGGGGCTAAGTAGAGTGCAGTCACGTACACATTGCCTGCAGCAACATATTGACGTTGT